TATATTTATATACTATATAAAGGTTTGGAAACCTTATTTTACAAGTGGGATAATGACAATTCCCACTTTAACGAAATAGAGCTTTATTACAAGCAAACGAGGGTGTATGTTCCAGAAGGGGAACTAAGGAAGGTAGCCTTAGAAGAGTGTCATGACGGACCTCTTGCAGGACACGACGGAGTGCCCAAGACGATGGGTTTACTCAAGAGGAAGTACCATTGGCCAGATATGGCTAAGGACGTCCAAAACTATGTAAAGACATGTCCAACATGTCAGCAGGTCAAAGCCGTGACTAAGGCTAGTGGGGGCTTGTTGCAAAGCATCCCAATTCCAGATCGTCTGTGGAAGTGTCTTACGATGGACTTCATCACGGGAATTCCCCTAAGCGAGGGGTTTGATGTGATATTCGTGGTGGTGGACCGATTCTCGAAAATGGCACATTTTATACCCACCACAATGGAGGTGGATGCGGAAGGTGTGGCGAAGCTGTTCTTCGAACAAGTGGTTCGAGTGCAGGGAAGACCGGAAGAGATCATCTCAGATCGAGATAAGATCTTCACCAATAGGTTCTGGAGGACTCTCCTGGAACAATATCGCACTAAGTTGAAATTCAGCACAGCCTATCACCCACAGACAGGTATGGGGTATTAGTCAAGTTTGTTGGCACTAACACTTCTTGATAGACGGACAAACGGAAAGGGTGAATAGGCAGCTTGAGGATTATTTGCGATGCTATGTCTCGGGAGACCAGACTGATTGGGTAAGTCATTTGGGACTTGCGGAAATGTGTTATAACAACTCACCATATTCGAGTATCAGGGTGAGTCCATGGGAAGTCATCAATGGGCGAGCTATTGAAGGTCCTGTGGAACTCGGCGTAGCCGAGTATCATGGAGAGTTACCTGCAGTGGAGGCATTCACGGCGGAAAGACTCAGCATTTGGAATCTAGTGAGGGATTCCTTGGAACGGGCTCAACAAAGGCAAACCAAATACGCAAACCAGAAGCGTCGGGATGTAGAGTTCCAAGCTGGGGAGAAGGTGTGGCTGAACACCAAGAACCTCAGGCTACCATGTGGGATCAGCCGAAAGTTGACCCAAAGGTAAAAATGCATGTATTCCTATAAATGAATTGATCTTGAGTTTCGTAAGCAGGTTCGCGGGGCCTTACGAGATTGAGGCACGAATCGGTAAAGTGGCTTACCGACTCTGACTTCCTCGAAAGATGGGGAAGATGCACCCAGTGTTCCACGTGAACTTACTCAAGCCGTACTTTGAGGATCCGCTTTGCAAGGACCAAGTGAGACCTTTACCTGAGGTTATCCAAGGGGAAGAAGAATACGAAGTCGAGGCCATCCTCAATGCGCACAAGAGCAAGCGACAAGGACGCAAGGTGAGAGAGTTCCATGTGAAGTGGAAAGGATTTCCACATTGCGAAGCAACATGGGAACCGGAGGAGAACCTAGCGAACGCGCGAGATCTAGTGGACGAATTTCTGCAAGGCAGAACTCTATGTACTTATGCAAAGTTCAATTAAAAATATCAATTTGCGAAGTTGAGCAAGAGGCATATGTTGGGACCCAAAGGCGCGCCGAAGGTAAGCTAATTAGCATGGGTTAACTAGGTCGACCAGGCGTAGGGCACTACGCCCGACTCCCTGTGGGGATGTCGAATCCATAGACATATTTTACGGAGGTTGGGTTCAAGTCCCAACCCCCTAGTAAAGCAAGGCTGGGTTCAAATCCCGACCCTATACTAAGGCGTGGTGAGGTGAGGAGTATAGGGACACCTATGCTCCGTTGTCATGAGCTCTTGGCCGGGGAGGCTAACTTAGGCACACCGCTAAGTGGGGGGATGCCCCCAGAGATATGGTCAACAAGTCGTAGGATAAAAAGAGACGTTCAATGTGGGCATCGAACTTCTTCTATGGGTGGTGGAGTTGTAAGGAACCGACTCCCCGTGATGTCGTAGGCTAAAAGATCCCCGAAAGCATGACCGAAATGACAAAGAGTTCATCGGATGAGACCGAGTCGAAAATTGAGTCCAAGACCAACTCAGAGACTGAGTTTGAGATAGAGTCCGGGATCGAGCCGAGGCCGAATCGGAGACCGAGTTCGAGACCGAGTTCGAGAACGAGTTCGAGACAGAGTCCGAGATCCAAATCGGGTCCGAGACCGAGTCCGAGGTTGAGTCCAAAGTCGAGTCCGAGATCGAGTCCGAAATCGAGTCCGAGACCGAGTCTGAAGTCGGGTTTGAGATCGAGTCCGAGATCAATTATGAGACTAAGTCCAAATACTAAGACAGCTCAATGGGTGAAAGCCCAAAGTGTGCGTCTCCCAGGGGGGGGCTGCAGGGGGTTCCAAAAGTATAGTAGGGATAGGGAGGTCCAGGAACCAGTCTTGATGGAACTCTCCAGTGGTGCTTCCAAACTGACTTGAGGTTGACACTGGGGCCGAGGGGCCTTGGGTGGGAGTGAGCATGGGCTTGGGTGGGGCCAAAGGGGCCACCTAGGGAAGTGCTCAAGAGCAGCTCCCACTCCCGAAAGGGAAACCGACTGTGGTGCTCCCGGCTCATGTGGAGTGGTGCCCCACTTGAGTACCTTGTGGCTCATTGGTCTTCGCCCTTCCTAGGGGCTTGGGCCTTCCCTTTGGGATGGAAGTGGGGGGGTAGAGGTACCCATACTGGGCCGTTAAGCCATGGTGTTTCGCCCCGACGTCCCGAAGCAAGCGTTGCACCCAAGGCTTGGGATTTAGAGGGTCCCATGATCAAGTCTTGTGGTACCAAGGGGTGTTAGGAATCTGGAGGCTTGGTGTGCTTGGCTGCTTGTGCCTGCGGGGAGTGTAGCCGAACCTTAAGTCCAATCTAACCCGGGGAGGGGGATTGGGAGAGATTTGGGAATCCGTAGATGGATGGCTAACACTCCGTTGCTCGTGCAGTGAGTAGCTGAAACCAAGTAGGACCAAGTAGGAGTTGGTACCATAGGCGAGAACCTTGGTGAGGGAACTTAGCACAAGCCAAGGTAGAGTTGGCCGGATAGACGAGGTAAGCTGGCAAATTGGAAAGGAAAAATTTGTGGCTTACAATATGACAATTTCTATTGGAGGAATATGAAGGCTAATATCCTCGAGTACTGTAAATTATGTGAGCTCTATCAACATGTAAAGGTGCCACAGGAGAAGTCGGGGGGACTTTTGCAACCTTTACTTATTCCTTAGAGCCCTTGGTGTAGTATTTCTATAGACTTCATCACTTGTTTGCCACGAACACAGAGGCAAAAGGAGCAAGTATAGGTTATAGTGGATCGTTTGATGAAGTATATGTGGTTGTTGGATCTTCGGAAAAGTGTCATTACCTTAGATTTAGTTGTGGTCTTCTTGGAGAAGGTTTTTCCTGATTTTGGTTTGCCAGAGGACATCGTTAGTAATCGAGATTCAAAGTTCACTAGTGGATTTTGGAAGAGCTTTGCAAAAGTTATGCAAGTGACTCTAAAACTCTCGAGTGGAGATCATCCTCAGACAAATAGGCAAATCGAGCATGTGAATCAGGTGGTGGAGGATATACTACGCTGTAGCATTGGTTAAAGGCAGAAACAATGGGATTTATATCTTTCGTTGGTGCAATTTCCCTACAACAATAGCCAATAGAGTGGAACCAAACTAAGTCCTTACTTTGCCATGTTTGGAAGGCATCTTTGAACAATAGTGGAGTTGGAATTGCATTTGAATAAGGATGTTCAAGAAAAGCTTAATTCAGAGGTGACTGATCTAGCCACGAAACTTGATGAGATTTTGATAGTGTGCAAATGGAATTTGCAAGCAGCTCAGGATAGAGCGGAGAAGTTTACTCATGAGTATTGCCAATTCCGGGAATATAATGTGGGTGATCTCGTCTTTGTGCAAGGGATCTTTCCGTCAAGTGAGCAGCAGAACACCTTAATGCCTTTTACAGAATGGGAAGAGTGATAAACTTTCTCATCAGTATACTGGTTTATATAAAGTGCTGGAGCGCATTGGTAAGGTGGCTTATCGGGTGCGGCTGCCAGCTAGGGTGAAAATTCATCTAATATTTTATGTTAGTCAGTTGAAAGTTGTACTATCTCGGAGTGATAGGCCCAATGCTTCCTTAATATATATGGCTGTGGAAGATGGATTAAGAGCTTGAGTAGGGTTCCCCAAAAAAGGTGATCACCAATACAACTCATCCTTGGGACAAAGACTTTGTTGAAGGGAAGAATTGTTAAGTGCCAATTTTGACCACATGGTCAACATCAATCAAGCTCAAGGGTTTATGAAGGCATGTTAAGGTAAAAAGCTTAACCTACCTTAGAACTCACCGTGGAGTGGTGAGCTTTTGAGGTAGTTCAGGGGTGGTTGGGCAATGAGGAACCTCAAGAGGAAGTGTAGTCTAGTTTAAAAAGATTAAATTGTTGACTTTTCATGCCATGTCATAACACAATTGTTCATGATGTAAGGAATGTCATGGATGGGGATATAACACTGGAACTTGTGCCAAATGTCAATAACATACTAAAAAATATTCTTATGCTCTTTTGACATTTATGGATAATAGGAGTTCTATTTCTTGTGCTTCTCTATCACCAACAAATAACGAAAGTCCTCCTATTCTCTCTTCTCTACTCTCTTTCATAACATGCAATATAGAATTAATGGAGGATGAGTAGTTTATGTTTGTTTTTGCTGGAGTCGTAAATAGTATAAATGCAATGATCTTGGTGGACTTTGGCTTAGCAATTTCCTCTATTCAGTGTTTAATTGTTTGAAGTTTCATTATAACAAGTCTCTTGTACTTGACCTTTATGACTTCTGTTTACTAATCCAGTATAGATATTATGTAAGATGGATTATCTTCTTCTTCTTAGCCGTGATCTCCAAGCTAGATTGGAATGTTCTTTCTCCGTCCAGGATTCTCAAGAACTGTGGAGGTCGCGCCCGGATTCTTGCAAGGAATACCTCGCGAATGCGTGTGAGATCCAGCAAAGTTTATGGCATTGCTCTTCCCCAATTTCGTGATTTCCACAGACACCTCAGAGGATTGCTTGCTCTCCTGGGGAGCACTGCTCAAGAACTGCCGGGATCTGTCACAGGGGAGGCAAATCCACGCCCGCATTGCGCAGAGCGAGCACCGCCGCAACAAATACCTCGCGAATCTGCTTGTCCAGATGTATGGCAAATGCGGCAGCGTCGATGACGCCCGCGCAATCTTCGAATCCATAGAGAATCCTAAGCTCTTCTCCTCCAACATCATGATCCAGGCCTACGCACAGGCGAAAGATCTAGATCGAGCGCGCAGAACGTTCGATGGGATGCTCCGGCGAGATGCCTCGACGTGGAACTCGATCGTCACGGCATATGCCGAAAATGGGCATCTTGATAAAGCGCGAGAGATTTTCGAATTGGCTCCAGAGAAGAACGAGATCTCTTGGAATGTGATGATCACGCTTTGCATCCGCAGTGGAAATATAGCTTCTGCCAAGGATTGGTTTGATCGGATGCCCGTGAAGACGATCGTCGCGCAGACTGCCCTCGTCACAGCATTTTCCAGGAAAGGGCATGTGGAAGAAGCCGAGGCTTTGTTTGAGAACATAAAGGAGGAGCGCGATGTAGTGGCGTGGACGGCCATGATCCAAGCTTATGTCGCGAATGGGGATCTCGAGAAGGCCAAGGCTTTGTTTACGCGAATGCCCGAAAGGAATGTTGTGACGTGGTCGTCTATGATACAAGGCCATGTCCAAGACGGGCAAATGGAGGAGGCCAGATACCTCTTCGAAAAGATGCCGCAGAGGACGGTGGTGTCTTGGACGACCATGGTGGGGGGATATTCACAAAGAGGTAATATTCGTGAGGCCGAGAATCTCTTTGACAAAATGCCCAACAAGGATGTCGTGGCCTGGAACTGTATGATCACTGCTTATGGCCAAAATAGCGATCCTGACGCTGCTAGAAACGTGTTCGAGATGATGCCTCGGCCGAGAAACATCGTGTCTTATAACGCTTTGATCTCGGCTTACATCCAAAACAATTACCTCAAGGAAGCGAGAGCACTGTTTGAAGGGATGGAGGAGCGAGACGTTGTGTCTTGGAATCTCCTCTTGAATGGGTATGCCCAGAGAGGTTATGTTGAGGAATCCAAGAGCATCTTCGATCGGATGAGTGAGAGGGATAGAGATGTAGCGACATACAACTGTATGATTGACGCATATGCCCAACAAGGGTATCTTGTGAATGCCAAGGAGTTGTTTGATACCATGCCAGAGCGAGACTTGATATCCTGGAACACGATCGAGAAGGCCTTTGCTAGCAACGGACATGTATACGAAGCCAAGTTGATACTCTATGGGATGCCCAAGCAGGACATAGTTTCATGGACGTCCATGGTGGCGGCATATGCCCAGCGAGGCCATATGGTTGAAGCGCGGAAGTTCTTCAGCACAATGCCCCAAAGGGACTTGGTATCGTGGAATGCGATTGTTGCAGCGCATGCCCAGTGCGGACACAGCGCTAGGGCCATGGAGCTTTTCAAATGCATGGCCGTGGAGGGCATCAGCTCCAACGACATTGCGTTCATGAGCATTCTCGCTGCTTGCAGCCACGTTGGGAAGCTGGAGCAAGGCTGGAGCCTGTTCGTGTCGATGCAAAACGACTTTGGATTGAACCCATCACGGGTTCACTACTCGTGCATGGTAGACATCCTCGCGCGCTCCGGGAAGCTGGAAGCTGCCGAGGAGCTCATCGCCACCATGCCGTTTGTGCCGGATCTCGTGGCCTGGGACACGCTTCTTGCTGCTTGCAAAGTCCAGAGGGATGCCCGAGGAGCGGCCCAGGCAGCCGAGGTTGCCACGGACTTGTCCGAGGAGAGCTCGGCTCCATACGTGCTCATCTCTGATATCCAACGAAACACTTCGCTACATTAGCGGTTCCAAAAGGAGCAAGGAACTTGCAAGGAAACTAAGATCTGGAGCTACTTCTAGTTCCCTTTCACGACTTCAGCTATGGGCGTGAAGAACTTGACGAGCCTGTCCACGGTCTCGGCCTCCAACCGGAACGTCTTCTCAAGAACTTCATCCGCGATGCTACTCCCAAACATGGACAAGGATATGATCTGAAATCCCGGCTTCTCACTGTTGAGCACCGCCAGCGCCGACGCTCTCCCGCGTCCAACGTTGAGCTGCCAGTGGATGAGACCCCTCGGGAAGATCATCACCTCCCCCGCGTGGTACACTCGCGCGAATACCCGGTTACCCGCGTCCACAAACCCCGCATACAAGTCCCCGTGGAGGATATACACGAACTCGGAGGCCCGAGGATGTGTGTGAGGGGAGATGAGCCCGCGCTCCACAAAGTCGAGCTGGGCGAAGGAGAAACCTTGCGTGTGGAGTCCCGGGAACGTGTTCACGTCGCCTGGAGTGGCGATCGCTCCGGACGTGCTCTGGCTGGGATCCAGAGGAGTGAGCAAGCCGCTGAAGACGAAGTCGTCGATCGTCACGTTGGGGTATGGCTTGCACGAGTAGTCGTTGTTGTTGAGCAGGGGACAATGCAGGTCCGCGACGCAGAAGTCATGGAGTGGATCACGATCCGAGCATGAAACTTGCAGTGGCGAGAGGGAGGTCATCAAGAACGAGGCTGCGAAGCAAAACAACGCTGCCATTTTGTTGCCGTCACCAAATCTACGTCCGGTTTATACAGAACTTGCCGCCATTCACTGCGAGTTAACAAGTAGATCGAAAGATCGCCTCCATGCAAATCGAAAGTTTTCCTAAGATGAAAGTGGTCGATGGATGTATTATTCTGTTATTGTTCTACAATAAATTTAATCACGGCCTTACTGTGCCTCGGATGAATTCAGCGATGGGAACAAACTCTTCGACAAGCCTGTGTACAGTCCGAGCGTCCAGCCGAAATGCCTTTTGGAGAACTTCTTCCGCGACACCACTCCCGAACATGGGCGGAGCTATGGTCTGAAACCCGGGCTTCTCGCTGTTTAGCACGGCAAAACCCGACGCTGGACACATTGAGCTGCCAGTGGATGAGACCCCTCGGGAAGATCATCACCTCGCCTTTGGAGTAAACTCTCGCAAACGCCCTGTTGGCTGTGTCGATGAATCCAGCGTACAAGCGACCCCGGGTGATGTAGACGAACGCGGATGAGGCCACCCTCCACAAAGTCGAGCCGAGCAAACGATGGAGTCCCGGAAAAGTCTCGACGAAGGCTGGAGTGACGCTGGTGCCCGAGGGGCCCAGGCTGGGGTCGGCAGGAGTGAGCAGGCCGCTGAAGACGGAGTCGTCGATCGTCACATTGGCATACGGCTTGCTCGTTGAGCTGCGGATAGTCGAGATCTGCCACACAAAAGTCTCGAACAGGATCGGGATCGGAAGACAAAACTTGTAGAGTAGACATAGATGCGTACAAGACTGCAAAACAAAATAAGAAAGTCGCCATATGGCTATGTCGTTGGATTTGGAGGATCAAACTACATAACTTTGCCAGGTCCAAGTCCAGAATATAATGCAGCTTCGAAAAAGCAGAAGTGCTGCCACGTTGCTCCCAACTTTAGCAAGTCGATGATAGCATGCAAACTTTTTTTTGCTCTCTCATTGGAGAGGCTGAGGATCTCTTGATGAATATTCCTTTGCCAGCAGATGGACTTGCACGCGCAACATTTCTTTTACAGCATGTAAAAATCACGGAAGATGAATCCGTTATTCCACGATGCCTGGTTTGCATCCTGAGAGCTCGATCAGACTCTCAGGCGTCCCACCTCTTGCAAATTGATCAACGACAGTAGAAAATTAGCATTATTGTCCTCTCGCAAGTGTTTAGTCATATTTGCTTATTGAACTAGATGACCAGAGAGTTGCGTTACAGACTTGATATGGAAGGAAGAAAACAAGATTGGAAACCTTATACTTTTCCGTATTATCGAGAGTACTTAGGAAACCAATTTGTCAACGATTCCGATCCTTCCCAAGACCAAGTCTATGCACGGCGCGCGCGTCAACCGAGACACGTTGTTATCCGCCAAAAATGCACGCGGAAACTTGCTCGGTCGTTGCAAGGGCATATATAGATACCCCTCTCAAGAGAGGTTTCTACATTCACTCTTCTATCCAGTGCCAATCCTCAAAGGTCAGACAGAGATCTTCGAAGCTCTGTAGAGTGCTGATTTGGTTTATTGTTTTCTTTTTTCACTTGCAGTAGCAGTGTGTTCAAAGTATATAGCAATGGCGATGAGCAAGACTCAGCTGGTTTCCCTTGGGCTTGTTGCCATATTTGTGATGATGCTGGCCATGGGAGTGGACGTGGGAGGAATCGCAAAGGTTGCTGCCCAGCGCTGCCAGAGAGGGTGGTACTGGTATGACAATGGTTGTCACCGCTGCCCGAAAAGCTGGTATTGGTATGGCGGAAGCTGCCACCAATGCCAGAGCGGCTGGAGCTGGCGCAATGGCCGCTGCTGGAAAAACTGAGATCTCCGGACCCAAAATTCTAGTAAGAATAAACACCACGTTGCACCAGGGTCTTAAGAAATGTATTAGAATAAAAAGAATTCATGCAATGTAAAATGTTGTTTGTGTTGTTATTAATCTATTTAATTTCATCTCGAGAGTTTACAAGATTCTTGTCTCCAGGCACTAAGAAGAATTGATGCCGTAAACAAAAAGTTCAATCAATTGTTCTAGTATATCTATACAGTCTTTTTTGGCTGTGTTTAGCCGGCACTGGTGTTGGATAAGGTAAGAACTGCCTAGTCTGCAAGCTCCAAAACCCAAGCCGATCAATAATTTCAAGAGAGTCTAGTCAATGTTGTTGTCCTTTGAAGTCCAAAGTAGAACTGTGGACACGAACGCATGTTGTACCAAGGCCAAGTTGTGTTGAAACAAACATCTAAAATATCTATTCTATTTTAGCCATCGAAAGAGTGAATAGAAGAATGGCTAGCCATATTTCTTCTTTCCAGTCAAGAGCGTTTGAGGGGGTTGAGGTCCTGTGGAGATATCAGTCTGACCCCACAACTGAAGAACCAATATATTCTTTCAATCGTCACAGGACGCAGCAAGGAAGGTACCAAGTGTGTATCAGATAGGATCTGCATGTGCCAGCTAGTTCCATGTTTTTCATGTTATCCCTTCGGTGTTAAAAGGGCCTAGAATTCCTCCTCCAAAGGTGTTTTATTATAGATCAGTCAACGATGGCCAAAGGATAGGATTTAACCAAATTGCCAATTTTTAAAGGTGATGGACAACTGAATGAAAACCAAGATTGGCCTGTAGGAGCGTCAATTTTCACTGAAGAACCTAGCACAAGGAAAAGAAAATTGGCACCATGGGCTGTTGGCCCTTACATTGTGAGTGAGGCACTTCAAGGCAATTTGCCGCTGAATGTCTGGATGCCCAGAAAGATGCTGAATGTTGTGCTCAAATCTTTAAAAAGACATAGAGATTTAACTTAGAGGTAAGAGTGTTTACAGTTGCCAAGAATCTGACTTGGGTTATTGGCTTCACTGAATTGCCTAAAACATTCTTTGGATGATGGGTTTCTACATCAAGATGTCAAGATATTGAATATCAACTCGAGAAACCACTGGTTAAACAACTGAAACGAATCCAACTCTGCATGAGTCTCAACTGCCTAGTCAATGAGCTCTTCCAGCTCCACAGGAAGCTTAGTGTAATCATTATTAACACTTTGCAACCTAGCATTAGACCAGCCACTACAACTTGCATCCTGACCAACATCCTTGCTCAATTGTTTTTCTTCTTCTGGTTCTCCCTAGGCTCAATCAATCATTCCCACATATGATCATGTTCACTTCTTTCCCACTGAAACAAGCAGCACATACTTGGTTTATATAAAATTGATTCTTCTTTAAGTGGAGAAGAGTTTCAAACTGTGAGCAATGGTATAGAGGGCTTAAGGGTGGATGGATGGTAATTTTCTCTACGTCAATGTGGTAATTTTTTATTAGGTTCTAATAATTGGTATTAGAGGAGTAGAGTTCAAGAATCTGCAAATTCAAATCTTTATTTTAAAGGGACTCCCTACTCCTTTGTGCTCTTCATGTCATTTCATGACAAGTAGCTTTAGTTTTTTTTGCCAATATCAAGTCCTAGTTAAGCATAGCTTTTGACATGGTTGATGGTGGTTCTATATGTTATTTCTAGGCATTGAGGTCATGCATAATTTTGATCAAAGTATTCTCCTTTAAATTTCATTTTAGATTTTGTTAAGGTTGTTTCAGGCTTTATTCTTTTAAGTATATTTGTGATGCTTTATTATATTTTGGAAATAAATCACAGTCAATTCTTACATCTCCAAAGCCTCAGACTTCTACTGCCTTTACTAATGTTTTAGAGTATCAAAAGTTAGTTGGTACACTGATGTACATTAGTAATGTTATTCAGCTAGATATCAAATATATTGTTAATTCCTTGAGGCAATACTCACAACTCTGCAAATTATTTATTGGAGGTAAAATTAATTCTTCAATATCTTCAAGGCGCCATTAATCATGGGATCATTTATATTTGTTTTGTGATATTATCAGCTTACACTAATTCAACTTGGGCTAGTGTAGTTGATGACTCTCGTTGATTTACAAGTGGCTCATGTTTATTTATAAATTTTGGTGTTGTGGCTTGGTTTTCTAAATGTTAACATTAGATAGCAATACCTTCTACAAAAGCAAAATATGTTTGTAGTTAGTTTAGCCACTCGATAAATCATATGACTTGATAGATTACTTATTGACTTGGGATATTTTTTGTCACTCCCCACATCTTTATATTGCGATAATCAATTTACTATTATTTTGGCTAAAGATCTTACTCTTCACTCAAAGTTTAAACATATTAACACTCTATCACTAAGTTTGATTTGAAATACGAAAGAGGAATATCATTATGGCATCAGTTACTACACAATATATGGTGGTTGATAGTTTTTCAAAGCCTTTTTTGCGACCTTTATTTTTGAAACATTATGATAGTTTTGATATTAATCTTGTGTTTTATCTGGCATTTCTATAAACAATAGATATTGTTTATAGATATTGTTTATAGAAAATGTAAAGTAGTAGTTATTAGAGATTAGATGACTAACTTTCCCCTATATAAGTTCGATTATGTATTAGGGATTCAGTTTAATAACACCTTGCAGCAGTTGCTATTTTGGCTTCGTGAAATATGCAATAATCATTGATCTATTTGATTACTTATTATGTAAGACAACTTCTATAAATTATCTTTAACTTGTTTCCTTTCTTAAGTCTCATCCTTCACCGGATTCACTGTCAACCTGTTCCTCTCTCTATTCCTTAGCCTCAAAAGATGCTGCCAATTGACAAATAGATCACAAGGGGAAAGCCACATAGTTAATATATAAATTCACCCATGGGTTGAAGTGTTTATGAGTGTTTTAAACAGGTGATCTTAGCAGGAAACTTTGCATGTAGATTCCTGTGTCCAAGGGTGTCAAAATCGAAGACATGTTAGGGCTCATTTCTAAGAGAGTTTGGTCTTGTGAGAGGATGTGCAAGGAATTCCTATGCCATGACATGACACTCTTGCTGAGGGGAAGATGGTGTTGTCTTGCAGCATGCTGGGGAAACTCAATGACCCCAAGAGAGAGAGAGAGTATAAGAGGCAGAGTCTAGAAGAACCTGAACATGATGTTTCCTGGCTAAAGGCCTCTACAAGCATTTACAACAGGCTTGCCTACACACCTTCATGGCTGTTCTGTAGTTGCATGCGTGCTGACTAACCATAGTTTTGGCCAAAGCTTTCGCAAAGCCTGGAGACCAGATGGAGACACATGGACCAGTCATGATGGGTTCAATTGTTCGACCAGCAATTGAACGAGCAAGCCGCTGAAGACGAAGTCGTCGATCGTCACGTTGGGGTATGGTTTGCACGAGTAGTTGTTGTTGGTGAGCAGCGGACAATGCAGGTCCGCAACGCAAAAGACATGCGATCCTAGCATGAAACTTGCTGTGGCGAGAGTGAGCATCAAGAACAAGGCTGAGAAGCAAAACAACCCTGCCATTTTTCTGCCGAGCACCAAGTCTACGTCCGCAGTTTATACAGAACTTGCCGCCATTCACTGCGAATTAACAAGTAGATCAAAAGATTAAGATGAAAGTGGTCGATTAAAACTAGATTCCATTTGAGTAACATTGTGTTATTGCTCTACAATGAATTTAATCACGACCGTACTGTGCCTCGGATGAATTCAGCCATGGGAACAAACTCTTCGACAAGCCTGTGCACAGTCTGAGCGTCCAGCCGAAATGCCTTTTGGAGAACTTCTTCCGTGACACCACTCCCGAACATGGACGGAGCTATGGTCTGAAAGCCGGGCTTCTCGCTGTTAGCACTGCAAAAGCCGACGCTGAACCCTCTCCCACATTGAGCTGCCAGTGGATGAGACCCCTCGGGAAGATCATCACCTCGCCCTTGAAGTAAACTCTCGCAAACGCCCTTGGAGTAAACTCTCGCAAACGCCCTGTTGGCTGTGTCGATGAATCCAGCGTAGAAGCGACCTAGGGTGATGTAGACGAACTCGGAGGCGCGAGGATGCGTGTGAGGCGGGATGAGGCCACCCTCCACAAAGTCGAGCCGAGCAAACGATGGAGTCCTGGAAAAGTCTCGACGAAGGCTGGAGTGACGCTGGTGCCCGAGGGGCCCAGGCTGGGGTCGGCAGGAGTGAGCAAGCCGCTGAAGACGAAGTCGTCGATCGTCACGTTGGCATACGGCTTGCAGGGATACTCGTGCAGGGATACGCGGATGGTCGAGGTCTGCCACACAAAAGTCTCGGACAAGATCGGGATCGGAAGACAAAGCTTGTAGAGTAGACATAGACGCGTACAAGACTGCCAAACAAAACAAGAAAGTCGCCATATGGCTATGTCGCTGGATTTGGAGGGGATCAGACTACATAACTTTGCAGGGTCCAAGGTCCAGAATATAATGCAGCTCCGAAAAGCAGACTTGCTGCCACGTTGCTCCCAACTTTAGCATGCAAACGTTTTTTTGCTTTCTCATTGGCCTTTAACCTCTGCCTCGCGGCAAAGAGGCCGAGGATCTTTTGTTGAGTATGCCAACATTTCTTTTTACAGCATGTAAAAGTCACGGGAGATGAATCCGTTATTCCACGATGCCTGGTTTGCATCGTAAGACGGATCGAGAGACCTCGATCCTTGCAAATTGATCGACGACAGTAGTAGAAGTGATCCTAGAAAATTAGCATTATCGTCCTCTCGCAAGTGTATCAATTGTTTAGTCATATTTGCTAGATGACCAGCGAGTTACGTTACAGACTTCACACCATGTTGCACCAAAAAACAAGAATAAATGTGTGTTGTAGATCTTGTGAGAAATGTTCTAGAATAAAAAGATTTCATGCAATGTAAAAATGTTGCTTGTGCTGTTAGTAATCTATTTAATTTCATCTCAAGAGTTTACATGATTTTTGTCTCCACGGACACAACCGGAGATCAGGCCAAATTGTGTTGAAACAAACATCTGAAAATCAGCGGCTAGCCATATTCATATCAATATTTCTTCTTTCCATCGTCCAAAAAAAATCCCCCTGTATATACTATGTATAGGCCACAAATATAATATTGACATACACGTACTTCTAAGCATTACTTATCCATCTCACAAATCAAAACTTCTCATAGCAAACTTTTTTACAAAATATTTCTCGTCTCAATCAAGGAGAATTCTCTGCTAATGGCAATGGTGATGAGCTATTCTTTTTGCGTGGCCTTCATTGTCATGGTAGTCATGCTCCTTGTGGAAGTTGGCAATGGCATCACAAAGGCCTAGGCACAAAGCTGTGGCAAGGTTACTGGTACAATAGCAAGTGTAACCAATGTCTGTCCAGGACAATAGTAAGTGCAACCAGTGCTAGTTCAGTTGGTATTGGTATAACAGCTGCAACTGAAGTCAATTTGTCAATGGGGTTTTTCATATTTAACCTCTAAAAAACCATATGAGTTTGATGCATGGAATCAATGGAATTAGAGTCTGATCTTATGTTGCTCACTCCACAAATGCATGTTAGTAGTTGTGAAGTTTGTGCCTTATCAGTTTTAGCCTCGTCTCTCCTACTGAGGCATCTTCATCTGTATGGCATCTACATCTTCCTAGAGATATAAAAAACCCCTTCAGATGTACAGCCCACAGTGTGACACTGCTACTACCTGGAAGTCCTCTCTTCACTGCTGGTGCCAGTTTAGACCAGTCCAAGAAATAAAGGGGGAAAAAAAAGATCTTAACCAGGGCTTTTCGACTGGGATCAGGTTGCCAGCAGCTTGGGCATCCAGCTTGAGTGAAAGCGAGTGCTATCTAGCCGGGGGCGTGAGTGTACTCGCTTGTCGTCGTTCTCTCCTGCGATGGCGCATCCTCGTAGCTTTATCAAAATTCTCAAAATTTCGTGACCCAAACCTGATGTTTGGATTCAGGAAACTATGTTTGTCCAACATAGTAGGGCGATTGAGGAACTCATAGTTTAAATAGACACAAGCATTTCTACTCTAATCAATCCATCCAGCAAAATACTTAGTTAAATCACAGAAAGACAAACTTGCAGCAAACTTCCCGCTTCAAGGAAGCAGATCAATGATCTCCCCACGACGCATCAATCACCAGACGAACGAGGTGAGCAGTTGATCCCCTTCTACTCTTCTATAACCAGTGGCGCTAGATACTCGCTCTCGGATCTCCAAACTTTGAGACCTCGCCAAGATCAAGCTCGATCCTCTACCCTCCACAAAGTCGAGCCGAGCAAAACGAAAAGCCCTCCGTGAAGGTCTCGACGTTGGCTGGAGTGCCGCTGGTTCCCGAGGGGGGCCTGGCTGGGATCGGCGGGAATGCTGAAGACGAAGTCGTCGATCGTCACGTTGACATACGGCTTGCAGGGATAATCGTTGAGGTCTGCCACACGGACAGGATCGGGATCGGAAGACAATTCATGTAGAGTAGCCATAGACGCGTACAAGACTGCAAAGCAAAAAAGAAAAGAAAGTCATTGACGACGTCATGACTGGATTTGGAGATGATCAAACTACATACCTTTACAACGTCCAAGGTCCAGAATAAAACCAGGCGCGCTGCCACGTTACTCTCAGTTAGCAAGTCCATGATTAGCGACCACCAGCATGCAAACCTTGTAGCTAAGCTTTTTTTGCTTTCCCCTTGGCTTTGAGCCTCTGCCTCGCTGCTTCAAACTCTTCCTCGGATGGTTCCTGAGGCATGGCATTCTTCTCTTTCTTCTTGCCGCCATACTTCGCCTCTAGCGCAGAGGTAAGTGAATTCATCCGTTTTTGACGGGACTGTATGGCTGCAAGTAAGTTTTCAGGGGGGTTCTGCCGTCTCCTACAAAAAATGGCAAAAAGTAAATTTCCACTTAAAAACAGCTGACATACTCGAAGGGATCGGCAGGAGCCGGCTGCGTTGCAGTCTTCTTGGCCCATTTACGATATGTGTTAGTCGACTTTAACTCCCCTGAAAGAAGGAATCGAGAAAAAGATAAGACTTCAAAGCTCGCATAGATAAAAAAGGCTTACCAGAAGCAATTGCTTCATCGATCACCTCCATAAAACGATGCGAGTCAAGCTTGGGCTCTGAGCACATGAGCATCCCAAAGACTCTGCATAGAATCACATGTGAGTACGTGCACATACAATCTAGAGATCTTTTCACGTACAGGTTCATGTTGCCTTTGCATTTTGTGTACAACTCCTTGAGATCTTTTTTCTCTGTGTCAGAGCCTCTGTATGCTGCTGCAAACGCCTCGATATCTTCTTCAGTGACAGGCTAATGTATCTTTGATAAGAACCAATCTAGAGAAATAGCAGAAAAATCCACACACCTTGTAGATCGTCCTAAAGTACTCATAGAGTGATTTGCCACGATCCCCCAATAACTCCTGCAAGAGTAGAAAGATAAACAAGGAAACGAGAAGAGAAAGAAAAAAATGGAGAACTTACAGCGTCTTCAACAGATCCAGTTTCGTCGTACAGAGCTCTCTTTTCAGGATCACCCAGGACGGCAAAAACATTCTGGAGCGATTGAAATTTTTCATTGGCGTCCTACACAGAAAAAACCAGTGAGGAAGAACCTTCTTCTTGAAAGCCAAACCTTGTCTTCCGGATTCTTGTCCGGATGTAATCGCAGAGCAAGCTTGTGATAAGCCTTCTTGATCTCCGCCTGGGAAGCCGTCCGCTCAACCCCAAGGATCTAACACCAGCCCATAAAATGCGAAACTAAGCAAAGAACCGATCGCCTACCTCATACAAGCACTGGGGGGAGCTGGCGCCTGCGTCATTCTCCACCGCCTCGCCCCCATCGCCGCCATCGCCTCCATCGCCTTTGGCAGGAGCTGCCGCGCCCTTGCGCTTTCTCTTCGCCATTTGAGCAAGGGTTGCCCGCCCACCGTCGATCTCCATTCCATCCTATAGCCACGATTAAACGCATCCCAGCCGCCCGTTTACAAACTCTCCCGCCAAATTCAAATGCCCGCAGCGGTAGAGATGCGAGAGGAGAACGTACGGCGAGGATTTGCTTGGATCCACAGCCATGGCGCGCTCCGCCGCTCGCTCGGCAGTGGAGACATCGCCATGGACTTTGCAGCCGCTGAGAAGGGTCGTCCAAGCGATGGAAGCTCTTGTTCTTGGCAGGAAACTCACCAGTCTCTCGGCCTCGTCGATCCATCCCAATCGCCCAAAGAGATCCGCCAGGCAGCCCCAGTGCTCCACATTGGGTTCCATGCCGTGATCGCCTCTCATCACGAGAAACCACCGCCAGGCTCGCTCGATCTCTCCACTGTGGCTACACGAGAAGAGAACGTTGGTGAAGGTGATCTCGTCCGGCTCCATTCCTTCCAACACCATCCGCTCGAACAGCCGGAGAGATTCGTCGTAGAAACCGTGCTGGCCGGAGACACCGATCGCAGCGTTCCATGCCGCAGAGTCTCGCTCTGCCAAGTTCTCGAAGACCATCTTCGCCTGGAGCCAAGTTCCACACGCACCGTAGAAGCAAACCAGCCCGTTTCCCAAAACTCTGGAGCTCGGAAGACCACGCTCGAGGATGTGGGAGCGAATCGTCCAGCCTTCTTTCTTCGCCCCCATTCTCGAGCAGGCGTGCAAGAGGTTGACGAAAGTGATCTCGTCCGGAGCTACACCCTCCAGTCCCATTCTCGCGTAGAGCTTGAGCGCTTCGTCGGCATAGCCAGCCTGAGCGTAAGCCGCCACCATTGTAGTCCAAGCCATCACGTCCTTGTAGGAGATTCTCTCGAAGGCTTCTCTCGCCTGGATCATGTCCCCGGACTTCACGTACATGTCGACCACGGCAGTTCCCACCAGAGTGTCAGCCTCCATCTCGGTGCCGACTATACAGGAACGATGGATCGACTTTGCGGCTTCCAGCGGATCAAGCTCCAGAGTGTTGCTGCTAGAACATCCGACTATGATGCTCACCATCGTAACTATGTTGGGAGTGATTCCTTCCACTTCCATCTGCTGGAACAGCGACACTGCCTGTCTGATTTCTTGCTGCTGGATGTAAGCTCCTAGCATTCCTGTCCAAGTGACGAGATTCCTGCTTCTCATCCTCTCAAAAATGGCTCTTGCATCTTCCAGCATACCGCATTTGCCGAACATGTTGATCAGTCCATTACAGACCACTGTGTCTCGATCGTAGCCACCTGAGACGATAAGCCCGTGAAGATACCGAGCTTCTCTTGTGCTTCCCAAGTCTGCGCAAGCCGAAAGAACCGTCCCGAAAGTAATCTCGTTCGCTGGTATGCCTTCGAGTTCCATGCGATGGAACAAAGCCAGAGCTTCGCGCGGGTGTCCACAGAGTCCACAAGCCGCGATGATGCTCGTCCAAGTCACGACGTTCCTCTCCGCGGTGGCCATGCTCTCAAAGACCGTTTTTGCGTCGCTCAAGCTCCCACACTTCGCGTACGTGTTGATCAAGCCATTTCCCACTGTAAGTTGCTGCTTCTCGAGGATCCCACTCGTTAGCACCAGGCTGTGGATCTCTCTGGCTTGCTTCAAAGCTCTGGCTTCAGCGCAGGCCCCGAGGATCGTGATGAACGTAACTTCATTCGGTGCTACTCCCATTTTCTGGAACACTTCGTATGCATCGTGAAAGCGATCGAACTGGGCGTACGCTGCGATCATCGAAGTCCATGAGACTATGTTTCTGGACGTAATCGAATCAAACACCAACCTTGCATCATCCAAGCTCCCACACCTGGCATACATGTTGAGGAGCGTGTTCCCGATTGAAACATCCAGCTTCATCCTGCCATCACAAAACCGAGCGTGAATTCTCCTGCCTTGGGACAAATCCTCTAGAATGGAGCAAGCACTAAAGACCGACACAAAGCTTACCCGGTCAGGCTTGAATCCCTGTTTCTCCATCTCGTAGAACAAGTCCACCGCCTCTCTGTAATGCCCGTGCCCGGAAAATGCTGCGATGATACAATTCCATGAGACAACATTCCTGCGATTCATCCCATCGAAGAATCTTTTTGCGTCCACCAAGCTTCCACAATTGCTGTACATGCTGATCAAGGAATTCGCGAGATTTAGCTCGAGTTCCACCTCTCCCGCGACGATCTGGGCGTGGATCTTCTTTCCAGTCTCTAGAAACTCGGCGCTGGAGCAAGCTCCCAAAGTGTTGATGAAAGTCACGCAATTCGGCCTCACATCCATCGCGTGGAACAGCTCGATCGCCTCTCTCGAGAGCCTGTGACGAGAATACAGCCCGATGATGATGCTCCAGGAGAAGACATTCTTCTCCGCGATTCCATCGAACGCTGCTCGAGCTTCTGCCAAGTTCCCACACTTGCCATACATCTGGACGAGCGTATTTCCCAGCAGCGTCTCCGAATCTATCCCTGTTCTTGCGAGCTCGGAATGGATCCGTCTACCTTGCTCTAGGTTGTCGCATTGCCGGAGGAGCCACACACTGGTGTCGCGATTGAGCCGCAACCCGGAAAGATCAATCCGATTGAGGTCCAGCATCTGGAGCGCCTGCCGCTGCATTGCCGATCCAAGGCATCGACGCATTGGGACCATGGAAAATCCATAGGGAATGAAAGAACCCTAAGAGCCCAAGAAGAATGCTCGCCATGCCTTTGGATGCTCCCTAGGAATCGATGCGCTAGGCGATGGATCAGCACAGAGGCCAGCAGCGATGGCGCGCAGGGCTACCGCTCCCTGGTGCGCCAATGCGCGAGCGCGAGATGCCTGGTGGCGGCGAAGCGCGTCCATTCCCAGATCGCCAGGGCCGGGGGAGCTCTCGATCGAGGCACATTTCTCGGCAATCTCCTCGTCCAAATGTATGGCGCCTGTGGAAGCGTGGCCGACGCCATGGCCGCCTTCTCGGAGATCTCTCACAAGAACGTCTTCTCCTGGAATATCATGCTCGCGGCGTTCGTCCAGAGCAAGGACACACACAGCGCGAGGTTTTTCTTCGATACAATGCCGCATCGCAGTGTCGTGTCCTGGAATACGATGATCTCGGCACTTGCCCATCACGGGGATCTGGAAGAAGCTGGAAATCTCTTCGATTTGATGCCCGATCCAGACACGGTTTCCTGGAACACAATGATCCAAGCATACACCAACGCTGGAAAAATTGATCTCGCTATAGCAATGTTTTATGAGATGAACAACAGGGATATAGTCTCCTGGACTGCCTTGCTATCAGCAAATGCCCAAAGAGGAGATTTGGAGGAGGTAGCGCGGACCTTTGCTGCGATGCCGGCTTTCACAACCGCTTCTTGGAATGTGATGAGCCTCGCTTTCTCGCAGCACGGGCATCTAGAAATCGCGCTCGAGCTCTTCGATCAGATGCCACAGCACGATATCATCTCCTGGACAGGCCTGATCCAATCCCTGGCAAATGATCAAGGCCGCCTGGATGACGCGAGAGAGGCCTTCGGGCGAATGCCGGAATGGGACGATTCTTGCTGGAGTGCGATCATCCTGGGATGCATCCACAATGGCGATCTGGATGCCGCGATGGCACTCTTCGATGTGATGCCGTCCCAGTCGAGTAGCACCATCGCTTGCAATGCAATGATCCGGGCAAGGGCACAGCAAGGCGACGTCAAATCCGCCAAGAACATCTTTGATCGATTGTCGCAGCACAATCTATTCTCATGGAATTGCCTACTTGCGGGATTCATCCAATGTTGCTGTGATCCTTGGCCGCTCTTTCATAAGATGCCCCAGTGGAACATCATCTCGCTCAACACAGTGATTGGCGTTGGAGTGGATCACACATTCTTCGCCCAGATGCCACAAAGAGATCTCGTGAGTTGGAACTCAACGATCCAAGCGTGCATCGCGAGTGGCAATGTAGAACTCGCGCAGCACACACTTGACAAGATGCCACAGTGGGATATTCTCCCCTGGAACGCTATGGTCCAGGCATATACCCAGTGTGGAAACGTGTCAGCCGCGGAGGGAATCTTCCACGCCATGAGGCAACGCAACGTGGTATCTTGGACGTCCATGCTCCAGGCATATACCCAGGATGATAATCTCGAGGGTGCAAAGCTCTTGCTACACAGGTTCCCACAGTGGTCCACGGTGCCATGGAATCTCTTGATCCAAGCATATTCTCGCGCTGGGGATATCCTGGAATCAAGGAGCTCGTTTGACGAGATGCTACAGAGGGACGTGATTTCGTGGTCGGGGCTTGTGGTTGGCTACGGTGCCGCGGCGAATCTTTCTGATGCGCTGGAATCTTTCGAGAGAATGCCTCAGCACGACCTCTTTGCGTGGAATTCGATGCTCCAAGTCCTCCTCGACAATGGTCATGTTGAGCGAGGGATGGAGTTTTTGGATCGAATGCCGGAGGTGGATGTCACTGCGAAGAACGCGGTGATTGCCGCAACTGGAGATCTTGATGCCGCGAGAGAGTTGTTTGGAAGGATGATCCACAAGAATGTCGTATCCTGGAACACGATGATCACTGCGTTTGCACAGCGCGGCGATTCGAGGAACGCAAGAGCAGTGTTTGATGAGATGCCCGAGAGGAATGTGGTGTCGTGGAATGCGCTGCTCGCGTCCTCTTGCCCCGAAACCCACCTCGTTTTCAATCGAATGCCACAGCACAACTCCATGAGCTGGAATATGTTGATCCAGTTCCAGGCCGGTGAGGACCCATCCTCCGCAAAGCTCGTCTTTGGTCAATGTCCGGGAAGAAGCTCCGCGTCGTGGAATGCCTTGCTTCGAGCATATGCCGCGACTGGGCATATCCACTCCGCGAGACAAGCGTTTGAAAGGATGCCCTCCTGGGACGCGATCTCCTGGAATTCCATGATTTCGGCATATGGAAGCAACGAAAAATGCGGTGATGCGAGAAACCTTTTCGATCAAATGCCAGTGAAGGGTGTTTTCTCGTGGAACTCGATGATCTCCGCGTACACCCAGAACGGGCATAGCAAAGAAGCTCTGTGCTTGTTCCGGGAAATGGATCTGGAGGGCGTGAGAGCGGAAGAGATCACCTTTGCCACCGCAGTGGATGCATGCGCAGGGATTCCATCGCTACGAGATGGGGAGACAATCCATCGCTGTGCTGCGGACGAGGGCCTCGATTGCGATGTCGTGGTGGGATCAGCCGTGATAAACATGTACAGCAAGTGTGGTCGACTGGATCGAGCGAGGGGCTTCTTCGAAAAGATGGCGGTGAAGAACACAATCACTTGGAACACGCTCATCACAGCCTATGCCCGGAATGCTCCCCCACAGCAAACTTTGCAGATCTTTCAGGAAATGCAGCAACACGGGATCAAGGCCGACGATGTCACAACGGTGTGTGTGTTGCTCGCGTACAGCCATGGCGGGCTCGTAGCGGAGGGACTGAGCTGCTTTGTGTTTCTGGTGGCGGAGCATGGCATCCGGGCGACGATGGAACACTACAAGTGTGTCACCGATCTCTTGTGTCGAGCGGGGCGAGAAGATGAGGCTCGAGAGCTGATTCGCGGCATGCCGTTTCACCCGGACTCTCTGGCGTGGATGATCTTGGTGGGATCATGCAAGAGCTCCTGGGAGGTTGGAGGAGTTGCGGCTCGTGCATTTGAGCTGGATCCAAGTGAAGGCTCGCTCTATGTCTTGCTCTCTAATCTCTGCAAGAACAGTGTATCTTAATTCTAATATTAGATCAATCTTCCACAAAAACTCATGAAGTAGCTGTTTCTTCGTACATCGGTCGGTCTCATGCTTCTTGGCTTGACAGTTTCTTACTTTTATCGGTTTTATCGGTTTGACACTGCAGTATTTTGTCTAGAAACTGTAATTCTCGTAGCGCAAGTAGCAAGCATCGGTGCAGAGGCAAGCACCCAGAGCCCGTGAAACGGCGTTTTTTATGGTGTTTCTGGCCTTAACGAGACGATTACCGCAGTTGCCATTGCACTTAGCACGACCGTAACCGATGTGTGGAGCGCTTCCAACGCTGGTGTAGATGAAAGAGTCCCTGCCCGTGTCATTGAGGATGTCGAGGAGACGATTCTGATTGGTGGCGTATGGGGTGGAGAAGTCGATCTCTCCGGTGTAGTAGGCAACGTTCCTGTCCTCGGTGCAGTGATGTAGCTCTTGGCCTGCAACCATGGAAACCAGCCAAGCAACAGCCAACAGCGATGTCGAAGAAGCCATCAAGAACACGAGATGAGCTAAGACCAACTCAGATGAAACAATATAAGCCCTCCTATTTGTACTTGATTTTCTTACGCCACAACATTGGAGAAGATTGCGGTAAGACATTGTCATCCCGCTGACATGGTATTACTAATTTCAAATGTCTGTGGTCAATGACGTTGGGCATACACTCCGTGGAAAATACGTATACAAACTGGAGGTTCGAGGATGTGTGAGGAGGGATGAGTCTGCGCTTCACAAGGCAAGCTGGGCGAAAGAGTGTGGCGTAGTCACCTAGAGTGACGCTCGCCCCAGAAGTGCTCCAGTGTGCTCCAGCTGGGATCGGCTGGACTGAGCAAACCGCTGAAGACGAAGGCGTCGATGGTTAATATGGCTTGGACAGTTAGTCATTGCTCAGCAGTGGATACTCTACGTGAACACCACGCGAAAGTTGCACTGGATCGATCAGGATCCGAGCATGAAACTTTATGCAGTAAGAGGAAGATCATAAAGAACATGGCGAGAAATCTATGAAGAAAAAATCTTGGTGGATCACGGTGAAAGTTGCTGATGCCATTCTGCGATTTAACAAGTAAACCGTGCCACCATGAGATTTGATTTCGCAATTAAGCAAGTATATACCATATTAATTTTGGTTTTGGATTATCACATTTTGGTGAGTGAGTGATAACGTTAGCTTTTCATATATAATATTGTTGTAGACAATCAAGTATAAAAGGTTAAAAGTAAAAGTTCATCTAAATGAATCTTATTTAAAATAATAGGAAATAGATGTAAAAGGTTTTTCTGTTTTGATTAAGATACATTTATTGGATTTATTGTCAAACATAATAATTATATTTTAAACTTTTCACCAAATTGAACCATATGTGGGCATTAGTATAATTTTATTATTTGGATCAATGATGGAAATTATATGTTATTTATTTTATTTATATATTTCTTTACACTCAAATTTTCATAAACTATGATAAAAATAACCAGTTTTCTATGTAGAATTATAATAATGTTTTTATTTCTTCTGTTGCAAATTTAACAAAACAGAAAAAGTAATGAAAATTTATTGATACATCATGAATTAATTAATATTTTACTGGTAAGTTTACTATTCTTGGTAATTTTTAATACATCATTTATATTACTTGAAAACAATTAACAAAATATAAAACTTATTTGAAGAGCATTTAATTTATGCAAAAATAATATAACATTTTACATTATTTAAGTACTATAATTACCTCAAGAACTAATTATTTATTTTTCTGAAAATTATTATAAATCTAAAATACTTAAATAAAACTTATTAGCTTTGTAAGCTATATAGTAAATTTCTAACTTACTTGATACTAGTTGCAAATTATAATAATAAATTTATAGATATTATTAATTTATAGCTATAGTGTTAGTCAATGGTATAGTAATTAAAAATTGCAACTATAACCCAAGATTAGTTTTAAAATATTAAATACAATAATTAAAATAGTGGTAACCTTCTTATTTTGGCATAAGGGAAAAATACTAGAATATGATATATTATTAGAAAACTTGTTATGTCATTTTTAATATTGAATATTAATAGTAAAAATAAAATTTGGTCCTTTCAAAACCCAATATCAATTTATAAATGTATTTTAGAATGTAACTTATTGGTTAAAATTAAAAGATACTATTGTTATATGTATTTTCATAAATGATAAGATATGTTCACTTCAAGTTTTTCAGATGAATAAAGGTAATAATATACACTGATTATACATTTGTAATTTATTTGTATGTATATATATATATATATATGTATATATATATATATATGTATGTATATATATATATGTATGTATATATATATATATGTATGTATATATATATATATATGTATGTATATATATATATATGTATGTATATATATATATGTATATATATGTATGTGTATATGTATATATATATATATATATGTATGTATGTACATATGTATATGTATACATCCTATCACCACCACTCCAACTAGTGCTATACAATCTCCATATTTACCAGTTGATAGTTTGTGTATGTATATAATACTAGTATATGAATAGAAATGACAAAAGATAGAGATTATCATTCAATCCAAGCACCAACACTTTAATGTAAGCTCTTAAATCCTAGGTTAGACTTCCTAGTAGATCATCTAGCCTAATACTATTTAACCTTAAGGATGTTTAACACTAAATATTCTAAGACCTTTAATCGATTGGAAAAAATATACACTTTTATTCATATTTCCCTTTATATTGAAACCTCATGAATTATCTTTTAAGTCATTTTCTTTGGTTGTTTATAATCCACTATATTTCCTTGCAAATGCACGCTCTCATGAATAGAAGCTAAGAGCCATAGCTCTCCCGAGAGCCCAACTCTTTTGATACCAAAATTGACAAAAAAGAATAAAGATATTCTTTTGTATTGTAAGCTTTAATTAGCTATGTTTTTGCAAAATATAAGTTAGTTATTTTAATAAAATATACAACTATTTAGAATCTAGAGATTTATAAAAATCTTAAAGAGCCACCTATATTAATTGTGTAATTGATTGTCCTAAAGTTTTACCTAAGTGCTCAAGCAGGGAGAAGATGAGAGAATTCTACTTGAAATTTGATTTAGAGTCTTCAATTGTTTTCTCTAAGAGTGTTATAGGAGAGAGCTTCCTTTGCAAAAGATTCAAACTAAAGCTAAGATAAGTTAATCTAGAGAATGTATGTTGCAATAAGGGTAATCAAGTAGAAAAATCCATTCTTCTCAACAATAAAAAAGGAAAGTAAGGAGAGGAAAAGTATCCCTTTATGAAGTTATGCTCTTCGACCTCATTAGATCTTTTGAGCAATCATCAAAAACTTTAACTGCACAGGAAGTAAAATTTGCCAATATAAGTCTTGGGTTGGGTAGTTAAACTCTAAATGGTAAGAGCTAAAAGGAGTGATGTTGGGCCCATTAAATATCTATTGATGCTTCATATGGGCTATTATTATGTCCTCGAGTGGTTTATAATTTGATTCTATAAGAGTTTCAACAAAAACTTCATCCACCATGTTAGACATTAATAATGCCATTGGCATTGTCCTTTTACTACTATTTTGTTTCACAACATTAGAGAAGAAATAAGGAACATGGAGTGGAGGAGGTGATAATTGTTACAGAAGTAAATCCAATACCAAAGGTTGAGAAGATTATTGCTCGTGAGCCAATTTCTTATATCGCTTGAGCAATTTAAAGAGTCAATGCCAAGAGCAATACATGTTGCTCAAAAATGATTGGGAGTCGAAGTCAATGTCTTGTATTTGTGCACTTAGGTTCAAATTCTTTAGTAGTACTATATTTATAGGGCTATTGAAATCTAAAGGTGAGAGGCTGCTAATCAAGTTGGATTTACTGTTATAGAGCTGATGTTATTTATACAAACTGGATCCACAGCTCAATTATCTCAAAGCCAAATTTCATGCTAGAGGAGTGGCTAGTTGAGCATAGCTGTAATTTTTTGAAAGAAGAGATTGAAAGTCTAGACAAAGAAAATTTCAAGCTAAAGACTTCCTCAAATGTTGTTGTTGATATTGCTATGCCACCAATGTCAACATTAGAGCGGCATACATAACTCACTAGAAATGGGAAGGTTATACAATGTAAGTCTTCTATTTCAAAAGGTGCTGAAATGTTTTATCTTGTATATCTTCCCAGCCAAAGCAGTAGAAGGAAGCTTAGGCAAAATGGAGTTATGCCTAAGTTTAGGCATCCAAAGAAGAAAAACCCGACCTAGGTGAAAAGTAATTAAGAACTGTTATAAAATTATATAGTATATAAGTAGCACTTAAACGTGCTGGAAAACAACCCCCACTCATTATTGTATGTATTTGTATTGATTAACCATCTTTTCTCCCGCTTATGATTGTTTATGCAAAGTAAAGTTGAGAGAGTGACATATGTTTATTCTTACTCACGCCTTTTATCTTCACTCGAGGCTGAGTTCTATTCTATTCTCATCTTCTTCTTTTGCATTCTTGTATCTATTTGTTTGTCATTGTTTTGCAAGTAGGGGCGAGAATGTGAGTACAGATAGATAAAGCCTTATTCACTTTTGGTAATCATAGTGGGATAAGCTATCACTCTTTGGCTTGAAAACAACTAAAAGAAAATCATTTGTAAATTCCAAATGTGCCTAATACTAGGAATCACAAGTAGATCTCTTTAGTGATTTCAAAGATTTTGAGCCTAGACAACACTAAACGAAGGAGTTTTTTTGCGAAGTAGCTTAGTGTTTAAAGAGCGCAAAAAAGGCAGTTCTTCAATTGTCACATAAGCCACAAAGCTTTTTTTTTTATTTAATAATGCAATAGTAAATTTCAACTGTTTAAGGTAGTATCATGAAAATATAAGCATAAATATTATTTATATCTTAGAGTACAAACTATGGATAAGCTCGTGGATGAAACCTTCGTAGGGATTCATTGTGATAAGCTACTTAAGTG